GCTTATGTTTAACAGTTCAGTGGATTTGTAAGAAGACGAGCGATACCTGAGCTTATTTATCTTCATTTCAATAACATATACTTGATTTACTGCTACATAATAAATTCCATAAAACTCACTTGCATATTCAGCGTCCATTTTAATTTTTTATTTGTATTGATCTTTATATCCAATACAGTAAGTGTGGAGCTCAGTCTAATCGTGAATGCTCTTAGGGACTGCGTAATATCTATAAAGAAGGGGCGAGAATCCAGAAGGAGGGGTGGCAAAATCTAATTTTATGTGCTTAAAGAAGTGGAGCAACGCCTAAAATTATAATGGACTCTTGCAAATACTTTTGGAAGTAGAAAACTTGTCAAGAAGAGCGTGCCACGTTTGCGACAATTCTTTTTTCGCGAATAATAAATAAATACAAACGCAGTTTATTTCGTTTGCGAGTGGAGGGGTTGTAATTAAGTTTTTGGATTTTTTTTTTGCTCATTTCACAAACCCTCCCTCTCCCCTCCTCATGAATATTGCGCAGTGGTTGCGTATTGAAAAACCAGCCTGAGCATTTATTAAACTAAAGATAGAAACTGCTACGCCCGAATTCAACATGCGCATTACTTCAATAATAGATAACTTCAAAAACTCATACATAATTAATGAGTTATTACTCCAATAGAAGGCGCCTATTTAGTCACATGCCGCATGGACTCTTATATATATCTGACAAAACACCCCTTATACTCTAATACTCGCTTATTAAACAGTACATAAACTATACGTGGATAGCAGAATTAGAGTAATCTGTAAGTAAAATTACACATTGTTCGAGCGGTGTGCGACAAACGCAGACTGCAGACCGCAGTCTGACTTATGACTAAGCGCGCAGTATGGTTTGAAATGTATGGTTTGAAATGTCCAATCCTGATCGTATCAACTTATCAAGGCTCGACCTTCCTTCATGTATACAACACTGGGTTCCCAAAGGGTTAGGTTTAGGGTAAGGGATAGGGTTAGGTTATATTGAGGTATATAGAGCGTATAATGAGTGTTGTATACATTGAGAAAGAGCCCGACCTTCGGCGATATCGTCGAAATACAGCGGGTTTTCGTTGTGATAGCGTTGAAGTTTCGAAACGAAATTGCATGTGTGGATGGAGAGTTTCTCTGGCAAAGATAATCCGAGGGAATATTGGCGTGATTCACATTTTCGGAGGAGCTAGAAATTAATTTCTGGCGGTCACTGTGGGGTTGACCTAGCTACCTTCCCTTCTTTTAGAGCGAATAATAACAATAGCAATAAATGGCTCAAAATAGCTCAAAATGGCCTGAAACTCAACCGGAATACAAAGAAAACCCCAATAAACAGGTAGAGGTGTTTATTTTTTATTAAACTAGCATATTTCGCAAAATTACTAAAAACGGTTAAAATGTATAGCTTGGGCTACCTGTGACTCAAGAT